TGAGAAATGATTGTGAGAGGTATACCGTTTAAGGTCGATAGTTTATTTTCTGTGTGTATAGTGAAGACATTATTTTACATGCAAAGCCTGCTGCCAGTTATACTTATGCCTTTTTGAAGAAAATACTTTTTTCTTCTGGTTACATTGGATTTTCTGTCTTTGATGTTAATGGCATTTCACTTCTAAGTCTAGACAGAGATTACTTTTTATTTTTCTTTTTTTTAGTATGTTTCCTGATTTTGAGTTTTGTCTTTCATGATATCTAGAAGATTCTGAACCATGTGTTCTTTAAATACTATCTCTCTTTAATTTTTATCTATTCTCCCCTTCTGGAAATTTAACTGGATGTATATGTATTAGACTGTTCCCAGATCACTTATTTTTTATCTTTCATATTTTTCATTTCCTTGTTTCTTTACCAGAATTTATGGTGCCGAGTAATTTCATCAGGCACATCTTCTAGTTCATCGGTTTTCTCTTCAGATGTGTGTAATCTGCTCTTTAACCCATCCACTTTTTTCTTTTACTTTTAACAACTATATTTTAAGTTTTTAAAAGTTTCAGTTGGTTCTGTTTTAGATATACCCAGTCATTTTTTATTGTCTGATGTTGCTGGCTTATTGTTCTGAATCCATGGGGGCTCTGTGGATGATATCTGGAAATCACAATGGCTGATATCCGTAGGGGGTCTAAATTTATTGCTAGTTTCTCCTGTTGTCTCTACCTCATGATGAGTTGTCATCTATTCTTGGTGATCTTTGATTATGAACTCCTGTTTGATTTATCTTTCTCTGTGGGAGTCTTGAGAGTCTGGGGATGCTTTCCTTCTGATGGGATTTATATCAGCATTGGCTAAGGTCAGGGAATTGTATCAGCTTTGGCTGAAGTCAAGGGGGATCCCTTTTCAGTTCTGAAAAAAGTGGGACCACTTTTCAGTTCTCTCACTTTGCTTCCAGTCCAGGGCTGTGTCCTGATCCCACTACTGCTCTTGGCATTACTATTTGTAGCTCTTGACTGTAGTTCTCACTAGAGGTTTGTTGCTTTTAGGGGGAAAGGGTGCCTTTAAATGTTCTCTATTTCTATGAGGTCAGCAAAATTAAAAAAATTTTAAATCTAGAACCCACTTTGTTTTGCAGTGATAGAGTCCTCATTGGTTCATCAGAACTGATGGGATTAGAAGTCATTTACTTTAATATTTAGTTTTGGTAGTATATTTTAGTTTGTATTAGAAAAAAGTTCTGTCTTACCAAACGTAAGATTTCTTAGTGATATCAAATTTAATATTAAAACAAGCTTACATCAAAGTTAAAAGTTGAGTTATTATAAAGCAAAATATTAAATAAGTAATAGTACAGGTGGCAAGTGGACTTTGGGGAATGTGAATAAAAATTTGGGAAACACTTTGCTAGGAAATCAAGATGAGTAGGGCACAGTGTATCCTCGGGACCCATAGTAAGCCTGCAGAGAGAAACCTGTGATGACCACGCAGTGTGAAAACTGTCAAGAGATACGGGCAGGGTGCGCTGGGCTTAGAGACAAGGTACAGAAATAAACTTGGTGATAGCAAAGATGAGGACTTGCTTCCTGGAACCCAGCGGTAGGGACCAGTGGGCATTGCGTGGCTGTAGAATAAGGGTTGTTCAGGAGGGCAAGCAGTTGAACATGAGTGGCTTGTAAGTGGAGTGTCACGGCGTGGCTGGAGAAAAACAGGAACAGGATCACAGAAGGCCTCTGTGCTAGTAGGGCACTTGGACTTTATTCTGAGGGTGAACAGAAGCAGTGAATGATTTTAAGCAGTAAAATGTCATGATCAGAGTATTAAAGGGTTGAAGGCAGGTCACCAGTTCGGAGACTGCTTGGTCAGATAGTTCAGAGGAGAAAAGATGAAGCTACAGCTAAGGCAGGGGCACTGGGCATGAAGAGGGGTGTGTGTGCTAATTTCAGATTTCTTCAGGGAGTAGGACAGACAGGCAGAACTTCCTGGGGAATTGGGTAGTTGAAGGACACTGGGGAGTCTAGAGTGAGCCCCAGGTTTCTGGATTGGGTAACCAGGGGACATGTAGAGCAGTTAACCGATGACTTATAGAAAGAAGAAAGAGCTTGGTTTCCTTTGTTTTTGAGGGAAAAGATAAGTTTGATTTTGAGCTTGTTGAATCTGAGAGGCTTGTGGGACACCTTGGTTATGATTCAGTAGCAGTTGACAGGGTCTAGAGGTCATAAGATGCCGCTCAGCCTGGAGAGAGCTGCGATTCTCAGCATTGGACGGTTCAGCCACTGTGTGCTGTGCGTAACACAGTATGAGCGTCTGCAGTGGCACACAGAGGAACACTTAACATGTTCTGATTAGTTAAGAATTTACTCTGATGTGTATGAAAAGCATAAGTTGTACATCAAACCTATGATTTCATAGAGATTATCACTTAAGCCAAGTGAGGCCAATAAAAGAGAAATATCAAATAAACAAAAATACATGTGATGTGTGGAAATGGCAAAAACCTTGGTGAAGCTATTTAAATGATGGAAGTTCAGAAAGTGCTGTTCTAAAAGCCATGGGTATGGTGGATAAGGTCACCCAAGGAGAGGGTAAGCGTGAAAAGAAAAGCGAGTTGACATTTGGGTGGCGGGGAATGGAGAAGAGCCGCCCATGGAAACTGAGGAAGAGCAGCCAGAAGAATAGGAGGAGAACCAGGAGAAGATGGTCTCTGGAGTCCAGATGAAGAGTTCTGAGCAGGAGGAGGAGGAGGTCCACAGCGGCAAGTAAGTTGTAAGCTGAACAGTGCTCTTTGGACTTAGCAATAAGGCAGACCGTTTAGCTGGATCATCCCAACAGTGGAGCTTTAAAAACACTTTGCTAATGATAGCTGATACTTATAGTATTTCCTATATGCCATGTGCTAGGCCAGGCACTTGAAATTAAGTGTGGTTACTGATGAGTCAGGTGGGTATCTTCATTTGGCCCGTGAGGAAATGGGAGCACAGAGGTTAAGTACCTGCGCAGAATCGCACGCTCAGGAAATGCGAGAGCCAGGGGTCGGGCCCCGGCAGCCTGGCTCCCGAGCCCATGCTCTGAGTCACTGGGACACATCGCCTCTCTGGTTAAAACAAAATAGGAAATAAAAATGACACCAGCGTTGTAATTACAGTACAGTTGGTGCGGGCCGTGGTGTGGGTGAGGTCTGCCAGGCTGTTCTGTCACGATAGCTCGGTGTGCCGAGTAGGAGCACGTTCACTGCTGGAATGGAGGCCGTGCTGGTGAGGTGTGGGCTGCCACGGACAGTTCTTGGCTCTTTCTGGAGTTATATACAAACAACGTTTGTCAGACAAACAAGTTTAAAAGTGTGTGTGTATTTCCCAGGATAGCATATGTCCCATATCATGTACCATACTTTGGGTACAAAAATCTCTATTTATTTTTACCAGTCATTGTTCACTTTTGGAGTTAAATTCTGAAGTGGAAATATTGTTCATCCAGAACAGGTCAGGTTCCAGACATTGTATATAATATAACCAATCTGTTGTAGAAAGTCACTAATGACCTTGTTGAAAATGGAAACCCAGTTTTAGGAAACCGAAAGTAAATGAGAATGGAGGATTTGGATGGGAGAAATGGGGAGAAGAATCTTGGTAGGTTGAAGAATGTGCGGCAGGAGATAGGGGACATGTTGGGCAGTAATGGCTCTGGGCTGTGGTCCGAGTAGCTAATCTGAGTTAGAGATTTCAGAACTGGCTTAGAGCTGGTAAGTGACCTGAGGTGGCCTGGGAAGGACGAGCCTAGGCGAGGTGCGCATGATAAGCTGCCAGGCCAGGGCCTCGAAGGGGTCGTCTGCATGGACCTTGTGTCTGGGATGATGGTAGAATTTGGAGGAGAGGGGATCACTGAACTAGTTAGTTGTCTCAGACATGAGAACAACCAGGAGGTAACTAGGTGGCAGTGACAAGGAAAAGCAGATACAGTAAAATAGTGTTTGAGAGAAGAGACCAGCATCAGAGGACCTAGGTGTGAATCCTCCCTAACGTGGTGACCTTGAGCAAATTGCTTCATTTTTACCAAGAATGTTTCCCATCCATAGAGTAGAGATGATGGTAATTGGACCTGAGCAGAGTTGCTGTGAGGATTAATAAGATGATGCATGCAAAACACTTGGTACAGTACGTGACAAACAGTACAAGAAGTTTGCTAGGAAGATTGTTGCTGTTCTTCCCTTCTGGCATTGTGAGGCTTTCATACAGCAAATTGACATCATGAGAAGGATTAATTACAGAAACAGATTTGTGTTTCAAGAACTGATGGTGGTCTTGCTTAGTACGAAAGTTGGTTTGTCCTAACAATAGCGGGATAATAGTGGTGAAGCGAAAAGGTATAAAAAATGGTGCTGATGATGATAGGAAATGAAAGCCATTACTTGGGCAAGAGTTAGAAGTAATAAAGTGCTGTGTTTCTCAGTGACTTTTAGGTTCTGTAGCTTTTCTCTGGTAGCTGTAAATCTTTATTATTGATCTTTCTTCAGGGGAAAAAACAACAAAAACCTTAGTCTGAAACTCCAGCCCTAATCCCCCTTTTCCTCCATTGAAATAAATATTTTAAAATCGTGGTTGTTGATAATGTGAGGGCTTTTGCCCACCTTTGCAATCTAGCAGTGCTGACTGTGTGTTGTAGTTGTGAGAGTGTTAGGAGCAGCGGTTGTTAGGAAGATGGAAGGTCTGAATGTGGCTGTGGGAAATTAGGAGATTGACAGACTCAGCCTGTACCACTTCAGCTCTGCGCCATTCCCCGAGACACAAACACACACTGAGGGATGGAGAGGAGAATAGGAGTAGCTGATAGGGAACTTTTCTCAGGGGAGTCAGGATTTAGCTCCCACCAGGATCCTGAGAATGTAGCAGTTGATTTACTTACAGTGAAATGAAACTCCCCAGGGTACAGTAAAAGCAGATGGTGGAAAGGGGTAGCGGTGGGAAGATGTCTTTTGTTCATTCAGCGAACACTGATTTCAGGGCTTACCTTACCGTGTGTTAGGCACATACAAGATAAATAAGTTTCCCTTAACTGTCCTCCATCTAAAGAGATTGAAACAGATACATTCAGAGGGCAGATGGTGACTTCGAACCCGAGGAAAAGAAGAAATAGATTAAACTAATATTTGGGGAGAGTCGGGGGGAAGGAATTGCAGAATGATGATTTTTCAGAGCTCAGTGTTCTTATTGGAGTTGTTTCCTTGGGGCATAAGTTCCAAGTATTTTTCTAAAAGGCCGGAGAAGCCAGGAAGACTACTTTTGATATGTCAGGTGGTTTAATTACTGATGAGGGTCTGTGTTGTTTCCCTAGGATGGTGCAACATGGACAATTTTGCCTTGGGAGATTTCACTGAAGCAGATTATGCTTTGTTAGAAGATCGTCCTTATGTGGACGATTGTGTCTTTGCTCCTGAATTGACGTCCAATGATTATGTTCGTGTGACTCAGCTTTACTTTGATGGGGTGGTAAGTAGATTCCTTAACTTTTTGGTTTTAACACTGTCTTCTTAAATTTTTTTTGAGATATAATTTGAGATATAATTTGAGAAATCACCACAATAAGTCTAGTTAACATCCATCACCACACAGTTACGATTTTTTTTGTGTGATGAGAATTTACAAGATTTACTTTATTATTTTTGTTTTTCAATTACAGTTGACATTCAATATTTATGTTAGTTTCGGGTGTACAGCATAGTGGTTAGACATTTATATAACTTACGAAGTGACCTCGCCCTATTAGGCTAGTACCCACCTGGCACTATGTATAGTTACTGCAGTATTATTGACTATATTCTCTATGCACCCCCTGACTGTTTTGCAACTGCCAAGTCTTACTTCTTAACCCCTTCACCTCTTTCCCCCTAAGATTTACTTAAAGATTTTTGATTTAGAGCTCTCTGAGTAAAGATGTTCTTGTGCTACATGAGTTTATATTCATGCTCTTGAAGAGGTGATTTCAGAAGGGCAAGTAAACATGCCTCAACAACAAGGATGTGCAGCCAGAGAACAAGTGATGGCGGAAGGCTGTTTTCTGACCAAAGCAGGAAGCTCTCAGGAGAGCCCTAGAGACAGACTCAGGGAAACACCAGAGAATGGCCTGAGGACTCATTGGTTGAAGAGGTTGTTTTCAAAGCATATATATAAGTGTGCACTGAAATGTTTGCGTTTAGTACTAATAATCCTTCCATTAAGAAGCAAGAACTGTACTTTGGCATCTTACCAGACACAAATCAAAATAATTTTTTTCTTTTTAGGGTAGACAATATAAAGATTATGCCCAAAGTGAGAGAAATTTAGGTGAGTACATTGGTATTAATTTCTTGAAAGACTGTGTCAAGAGAAGTTCATCCATTTACATCAACATAACAGATTTACTTACTTACCTCTTAAAATTTGTTCTTAGTGTTCCTTTTCACTAGAAACCAAAACCTTTCTTTGTTAAAATGTTTTAGCCAACACGTACATATTTTTAATATCTAACTGGTTAAAATATTTCACCCATTCACTTCTTACCTTTCCATATCCATTTTTGCTTTTTGCCTATTAACAGTATTGATTCACTCCAAAATGAGGCACACAAAATTAACTTAACACTTTTTTTTTAATTAAGAATTTGACATCTGCAATATGTGGTGCAGTAAACCCGTTTCTGTCCTGCGAGATTATTGTGATGCCATTAAAATATACATCCTCTGGCCACTTGCGTTTCAACATCAGCACAGCTCTATAATATCACGGCAGCATCCTTGTGTGGATGCCACGTAAGTCTTGACATGTCATTCATTTTGTATGGACAGTAGTCAGCACATAGCCCAGGACAGAGCAATTCCAAGTGCAATGGAAGGCTTAATGTCTCATGCTTGTGTACTGTTCAACTTTACTCTTGTTTAGTAGAGTGGAAAAAGTTAATACTTGGGATTTGGATCTGAAGGAATAATCATGATAATCTTACATATAATGAATAAAATGCTGAAGAGCATTAGATGGTAAATTTGAAACCGAGTAAGGAAAAATGAATGCTTGTTTATAAATATCGGCACTGTAGTACAGAAGAGAGGAAAAAGTATAGTATTTTATCCGCTTAATAAAGAGCTTGCTACCTAGAGTGCAGAAACAGAGAACTTAATTTTTACTTCAAATAGTTTAAATTGAGAGAGAATATATTCAGTGTGAAGTTCAATAAATTTTTATATATGAGAACCTGATCTTTTAAAAAATAAATTTGTCTTTAAGCAGTTCTCATACTTCTGAGATAAGTTTGAAGAAGTTACAGCATCTTGAGTTGATGGAAGATATTGTGGACTTGGCAAAGAAAGTTGTGGTAAGTGGTAAAATATGGCTTTTCTTCCCTCCATTTAAACAATAAAAATGTGTATATTGCGTCAGGCCTGTGTTACTAATTTATAATAATTATCAGGTAATGGTTGTAGATTTGGTTAACCTGAGATTAATCTGCTTTCCGTGAGCTTGCTCTGTGTGAGAGATCAGGTGGCAGACGACTGTTTCAGTGGTTCTGACCTGACATGATGAGAACCAGGACTGCTCAGTGTCATTAAAGGATAGAAATTAGAATTTGTCACAAGTGAAAGTGCTCCTGGATCGCAGAAACTTTTTTCACAGGTTCTGAAAGTGATGGGTCCTATCTTGTAAGATAAAAATCATGCCACTTTCACCACTACTACACTGAGGGTTTTTCTTTGACACCCATTTCATAATTTTTCTTATTTTAGTTGATTATGGAGCCAAGTGTTTTTCTTGGTATTATTCTGATTGCAAACTTAAATTTATTTTTTTTCAAAGATTTTGTTGGGGAATTGGGGCAGGGAAACAGTGTTGGGGAATTGGGGAAGGGGAACAGCCAAGTTGTTGTCCTTCAGTCTTAGTTGTGGAGGGCGCAGCTAGCTCAGCTCCAAGTCCAGTCGCCATCCGGCCACCCGTCAGCAGCTTGTGGCCGCTCAGCTCAAGGTGCCGTGTTCAATCTTAGTTGCAAGTGGGTGTAGCCTACCATCCCATGTGGGAGTCCAACTGGCAACCTTGTTGTTAGGAGGCTCACTGGCAGCCCAGGTCGGGTGCAACTCACTGGTCCATGTGGGAATTGAACTGGCAACTTTGCTGCTCAGAGCTTGCGCTCTCAATCAACCGAGCCACTTGACCAATCCGCAAACTTAAATTTAGAAAGGGCATTGTGATTTTTATTTCCTGCTGATAATCCTTTGGAATGACTTCTATTGCCAGTGTATTTTTATAAAATATAATAGGTATAATTAATATTAAAATTCATACATCTGAAGTTATACTTCATCACTTTCTCATTAGAATCCAGTGTAAGACTATTTGTGAATTCTTGTTTCGGGTCCTTAAGAGGTAAATTGGGCATGCAAGTGCTTGTGGGCAGTGGCTACTATGTGTGTGTGTGTGTGTGTGTGTGTGTGTGTGTGTGTGTATACCAGGGGTGCCAAAAAAATGTATACAAGTGATCACTTTGGTCAACGTTGCTCAAGCAGTAGTTTGCCATAATCAGAAGTGTCTGGACCCTGATGGTAACCACTTTAAGTACCCCTTGTAATTGCAAAAGTCAAACGTGGGGTGGCCTAGTGGTGCATTGGTTAAGGGTTGGCTTGGTACGCCAGCTCTGAGCAGCAGGGCCCCAGTTCGGATCCCACATGGGGGTCAGCGATGCTGCGCCCTCTACAGCTAAGATGGTGAACAACAGCTCGACCTGGAGCTGGGCTGCCGTGAGTTGCCGGCAACGGTGTAGGCTGCAGTGAAGCTGCAGTGGGCTGCGGTGAGCTACAATGAGTGGCTGGCAGCCAGCGTGAGCAGCTGTCTAGTGGCCGGCAACTGATCTGCCTCACCCGGGAAGAGCGCAATGATAATATCAACATGGGCCAGTGAAGCGATGTCCTCCACAACTAGACTGACGAACAAAAGACAGCAACTTGTCTGTTCCCCTTCCCCAATTCCCCAACGCTGTTCCCCTCCCCCAATTCCCCAATAAAATCTTAAAAAAAAAAAAAAGTCAAACGTGAGACTTGTATTCATCTTTTGTTATCAGTATATATTGAGTATTACAATTTTAACAGCTTTTCCTTTCATAAAATATGTATACATTTTTTTTACACCCTCTATGTGTTCCTAAAATGTAGGATTTTGTTGTGCACTGGGTAATTCATGTATAATTGACTGAATAAGGGAAAAAACGTTTTGTCCTTTTTGTTTTGCAGAATGATTCATTCTTTATTGGAGGCTTACTGAGAATTGGTTATAAAATAGAAAATGTAAGTGTTACACAAAGGAACCCAGGACAGCCGAGCAGGCAGCCGTCTCACTGCTCACTGCCCATGTACTGGCTGCACTGTGTATAGTGTTTGGTGGTACTGGTCTCTACATTTTGCTTAAGCACTCTCCTTATTTTGGGAGTTTGCATCATTTCTATTTTTTCCCCACATAACGTCGGGCAACTTTGAGCCTCTTTGACAAACTGATTTCCTTTTTCTCTGTTAGATTATTTATTTACCTGGCGTATGTTCTCCCAAATGAAATTATGTTTCTGGTATGAACGTATTTTGCTATATAATTACTAGATAACCCCCAGATATCATAATAAGCCAATTTTCAATGCTGTTGGTAACATGGACAGCAGCATTGCATAACTCCACTCTAATTGCTGAAGTCATTTTAGACACCAGAAGTATGAATAAGGTTTCTTTGAACTCTCCACCCTCTATGAAGGAAGCCCTTTGCACTGAGTGCCCATTTGCCTCCTCTTGCTGTTTATCTCCTTATTCTTCTGTGTGCCCCAGACCATGTAAAATACACAGTCCCTTTAGTGAACCTTAATCTGTACTGTTAACCTTGACGGAAGGCTGGACGTCCTAGTTTAGGTGAGATCTGAGACCCCGCGTGTGTCTTGTATTATTGCACTCTTCTGCCCAGGACTGCCTCTGGCCAAGTTGTAGACCTCCCCTTTCAGGTCTGTAATGAGGGTAGAAGCATCTCGAGCTCTGAGGGTGGCCCAGGGTTACTGGAAGATGTGTCAGACACGAGTCCATGGTATCTTAACTTGTATGTTGGGGTCCAGCTATTCTAGGTTCTGTGCTGGAGTAATGAAAATATGAGGATGTACAAGTTTTGTATTAAGAATCTGAAATACTATATAAGATAAATTTATAATGCCCTATGTAAATTTAGAATTAATATCCAAGACATATGCTACATCTCTCTTTTTGAAACAGAAAATCTTGGCAATGGAAGAAGCTTTGAATTGGGTGAAGTACACAGGTGATGTAACAATTCTGCCTAAATTAGGAGCAGTTGACAATTGTTGGCCTATGTTAAGAATTTTCTTTACTGAATGTAAGTATAAATGCCTTAAATACTTACTTGACTCAGTGTTTAAAGGTATTATTTGGGAAACTGGAATGTGTAGGTATGTGATTTCTTACTTAGGATTTAAAAAATGTTTTTCTCTTGTGAGTAAGAAAAAAGCCTGCCTGAGAGAATTTTAACTTTGTAGTTAGTTTTATTCTGTACCTCCTGTCTTAATGATTTCTATGACATTATACTTTAAAAAATTTTACCAGATGGATGTCATAAGTTATTATATATAACCCCCAAAGAAAGAGACCACATTGGGGCTCATGTGTTCTCACTCATAAGAGAAATACAAAATAGAGTTAAGATTATAATTTTCATTTATTCCCTGATAACCTGCTATTCTTATGTGTGATGAAACTGCCTTGTACATATTTTTTTTTACTTTGTGGAATACTTTTCCCTAAAGCATTAGAAAGTTAGTGATGCTCTTCTAGTATAGGTATAGGAATCTTGAAAAAAGGAATGTTTGACTCTTTAGTAGATGATGAATGATAATTTGCCATCTCCAGTGAGAAGAGAGCAGATTTTGTGCTATTGACCTAAGTGTTAGAGAGAAATTAAGATTAAACATGAAAACAGGCTCTTCTGGTAAATGGTTCTCTCTGTTGTTTTGGAGACCTTTAATTATAAGCTAGATTTCATGGTAGAAGTAGAGGAACAATGTCATGTATTGGGCACCCATATGGGCTCGTTTTTAGCTCTCTCTGTTCTCTTTATTATAATATTCCTGGAAGGTAGCTGTTATAATATCCCTGTTTTAAATATGAGCAAACTAAGGCTTTCAGAGGTTAAGTGATATTTCTGCTGTCTAGTAAGTAGTAGAACCTAAATGAGAAGCCAGCTCTCTCTGATCCGAAAGCCCGGATTTTCATCCTATAATCTTGCTCTTTCCCTAAGTATTACTTTATTTGGTGATTTTCCCAAGTCCTTTCTTGAATTTTAAATTTTAGGTACTCCTTCCGCCATTGAAATGAATGTGTTTGTCTAGAGTCGTCACTACATTTTTGTTGCAATAAAATTATTATTTACCAATTTAGAAAAATATTTAGAATAGCTTAAAATACAGAAAATGAGGTCTGGTAAATTTCTAATGTAAATTTATTATGTACAGCATTTTAGTTAGTTTATTAAGTTTATATAAGAATAGTATTTCAAATAAAGTCTCATTTTAACATTTCATTCATGAGAGTTGAATGTTGAATTAAGACATTTTAATTCTTCATTTGTTATATTAAATACATTTTAGAAAGTTGTATTAGGGCCAGCTAAGTGACTCAGTTGGTTAAGAGCTCGCTCAAGAGTGCGAGCTCTGAGCAACAGTGGTTCGATTCCAGCCTGAGCTGAGCTGCTGCTGATCTGCCAACAGGTGGCAGGATGGCTCAGCTGAAAAAAAAAAAAGAAAGAAGTATTATGGGTTTTTTTGTTGTTTTTTTCAGACATTTTTATTGAACAATTGTGCCAGGTACACCATAGGTGCTTAAATGTTTGTTGTATTGATTTGAGTAATTATGAAGTCCATTTGGAATGTTACGACAGAACATTTGTAGTAACTACAATTAGAAATAATATAATAATCAAGTATTTTTTAATGCTAGAAATAAAACTGATTAGATTAATAGCAAGCATTGAATCTAATATTATCAGTTGTTGTTAAATACATTATTTGATCCATGTAAAAGATTATAGGAAACATCTTATTTAGAAGTATAATGATATAATGAACTTCAGGGACTCACCTAATCTAAGAATTAGAACATGAACAACACCAATTTTTTTAAAACAAATGTTCTCTCTCTCCTCAAATAAAATTTAGACAAGTATCACATAACTAAAGTTGTAACAGAAAACTGCAGTATGCTTGAAGAATTTAAAAGTCAAAGTTGTGCGGAGTGTGTAGAGGTGAGAATAAATATTTATTTGTAAGTATATTTTAAGATTTGCATGTAGAGAAAGTTCAATAAAACTGCTATTTGACGATACACAGGAACTACTGTAAAATTCAATAACAGTTGAGGGAAATTTTTAATAAATTTTTATTGGAATTTTTTCTTGGAAGAGAAAAACAGCATCTTGATCAGAATTTTCTAATGTTATAGATTTTAAAAGAGTTAACTGAAATTTGAAATTTGATTCTCTTAAAAAGCTTTTAATTAGTTGAACAAATGTGATTTGCCTTGTAAACAGCTTTATTGTGATGCAACTCACATGCCATACAATTCACTCATAAGAAATAGGATTTTAACTAAACTTTTAAAAAAGGATTTAGGAAAATATTTAATGTTCTGTACAGTTCTCTAAAGCCATTTATATGATCTGGCTTATTATGGTTAATTTATTTTTAAAATTGGGTGTTTGAAATGAAAAGTTTGTCATATCTGCAGCATCTTTGATTTTCTTTTGATTTCACCCTTGCTAACTTTTTTGCCTTATCCTTTTTGGCAATTAAGCTAATCAACATTGGCTGTATGTGTTATTGATTTATATATTGTTCTGTAAGCACTCAGGTTTATTGCATAGCATCGCATTTTCTAACCTAAAATTAAAGTTCTACCTTGTGTCAGTTTTTTTCCCTGCCACATGGCATGCTTAATGAGGTGTATATAAAAGTGGGTTTGTCAAGTATTGTAAACAAGGGGATCAATTGTTAGCAGTTGTTTGTAATGGGATGGCTTTGTTTACTTTTTAATATGCCTTTAACAAAGTTAAGATTGAGTCATTAGAGACACTTTTATTTAAATACATATAGTAACAAAATATTGAGTTTTCTACATACATAATCCCCCAGTTTATTTCTGATATCAAGATAGAAACCCAGTTCCATTTTTCTAGGTATGGGGGCTCTTGATTGTCTTGCAGTTAATTGTTGGGTCTCCTTTCACCTTGGTTTTTCAGCAAGGAGAACTAATGAAAAGGAGAGGAAATGAAGAGTTTTCCAAAGAAAGATTTGATGTAGCTATTATCTATTACACCAGAGCCATTGAATATAGGTAAGAACTAAACAGAACAAATGAGGTCTTTTTAGGTGGCAGATGAAGTTGGAATGTGAGTCAGGAGAATCCAGAAGCAAGGTGAAGAATTGAAGAATATCTTCAATTTGCTATGCAGAATAGATTTTCTTACCCTTAAGCATTAGAAGCATTAGAGATGGTCTGAGTATATGAACGTAATCAAATAGTATAACTGAAGCGAGTCAGGCAAATTGTGAATTTAGTTCTGCCTGCCCTGTGTTCCTTCAGGCTTTCTAGTACAGACTCATCTGTTCTTTCTTGTTTTCATTTTGCCTTCAACTAATTTCTTCCAAATTATTAACTTATCAGAAAGGGTTAGTTATTAATACTTAAGATGCCACCCATTCTGGGAATTTTGCTTTCTAAGAGGGTAACAGAATTGTTGGGAAAAGGCAAGTGTTCTCTCTGCTCCCTCCTCTGTTTGCTGCTAGAATTTAGTAGCATTCCTGCAAGTGTGCCTCACCCTTGTGACGTCTTAGCTGGGCCCCTAATATTGTAGCAGCCTTGGGAGGATTCTCTGTAGACAGCGACTCCTTGCCAGTTTCCACAGGGAATGAGTGAATCCAGGGAGCCTGACGCGGCTGGAAGGCTGCTGCTCTGTGCTTCTGCGGCGGAAGCGGAGGAAAGGGGAGATAAGCTCCACCAAACAGACAGAGCCAGGGGACAGAATCTGAAATGAAGTTTTGTTTGTGTTGCGTGTAATGTGCTTTACTGACTAAACTATTTCTTTTAAAGTCCTGAAAATCACCTTCTTTATGGTAACCGAGCTCTTTGTTTTCTTCGCACTGGACAGTTCAGGTAAGTTGGTTAGAGTACCCCCATCCCTGCACTGTTATGCTAAATACCCATTTTTGAGAAATAGTTCTGTTTTACAGGTATGTAAGAAAATCCTTCCATAGTCCTTGGGCAGAAATGGTGAAATGGTTAAAAGAGGGCTCTATATGCTATATATGTAATAACAAGTGACAGAAGCAGCTGTCCTGATTGAGTGGCTAGCATATGTTATGCATTATTTTAAGTACTTTACATGTTATTTAATTCTCAGAACACCCTTAATTGGTAAGTAATGGTGTTCTCCACATATACATTTGGACAAACTCATACCATTAGTAGTGATGCCAAAATATGAACACAGATCTTATCTGATGATGTCAAAGTCTGTGTTTATAACACCTATAATATATTATCTCCTTTTGCTCTATTGATTAATCTGGATCGTTCTGGAAGAAGAATTTTTGCTGTATTTCCTCTATTGGGGTATGAAATAAGTGAAACAAAGAAAAGAAATTTAATGGTTTAGCTATGAGAGTAAAATCATAATTCTTAGTTCCTTATATTCAACTGAGTTTTTATTAATTGAGAAGGATTGTTGAAACTACACCATGATTTTTTTTGTCCCCCCCGTTTAAAACCTTAGGACATAAATTATTAATATTGAGCAGGGTAGGCTGTTATATTTAATTATATCCTGCCTTACTGTAAGAAGGTTTAGGGTGGCTTCAGTAAAAGAATATTAAAAACAAAACAAACTGAAAAACCAGGGGCTAGAGCCTGGGATCCTCAGATTGAAACAGCATAGACCTCAGGTCCTGTTTAGTTATACTTATAACCTGTATTTGCATCTGACCTTTCTGTTCCCAAAATGAACAGAGGAAACCTGACATGTCACGTAATTCTGTCCATGGAGAAAGAGGACACCAGTTGCCCCACGGGCAAAATTTTCCTGGCTTTAGTTCTGCAGAAAATTTCTTCTGTGGCTTACAAGTGATATGAATTGAGTGACGGAGTAGAGAAGAACCTCGGCAACTTTCCTGTTCATAGCAAAAAATTCCCTGAAAGTACATTTTGGAGTTTCATCAATTTTTGTTTTTTTAAGTTTTCTCACGAGAGCAGAGAGTCTAATGTTAGCTGTTTTTCATTGAAAGCACTTCTGTTGTGATATGGGAGGGTGAGAATGGGGAAGATAGTATATACCGAGTTTGTAGTTTTTAAAAATAACATTTATTATGTTTTTCTTTTATCATAAACAGAAAACATTCTCATGGTAGAAAATTTGGAAAATACAAGCGTTTAAAAAGAAGAAAATAAAAATCACCAGTAATGCATCCACCTCGGAGAATACCGCTGTATTAACGTTATGCAGCTTTTAGATGGCTTAAGCCGTGGATAAACCGAGGCTATCTAGTCTAGAGGAATGGATGGGCTTGACACAGTCTTCCATCAATACCACTGTCCTCAACTGGTTCTCACAAGGAATGAGCTGCACATGTCTTTAGGTGTTACCTCTGGCTAGGTCCAGAAGTGCAAATATCTTATGCTGTTTGAAGGTGAATCTGTATGCTTTTAACATGAATAGGTTGGCAACTTGGCTAGCCTCCTGTGAAAACCGAGGCACCTCGCTGAAACTGTGTGGGCAGAAGGTCACTCATTCTGCATAGGGGAGCTCAGAGCTGAGAGGCAAACCAGGGTATTTCTGCCCTCTTTCATGGGTGCTGAATGCTAGACTCGTGGAGGATGCTCCTAAAACTCCACTGCAGAGGAGGTGCATCCAAGTAGAAACACAAGCCAGCTAGCTTGGTGAGGTAAAGGTCAAGAACAGGGCTGTGCATCCAGCCTGGTACTTCCTCCCTGACAGTCCAGCTTGGGGTTCAACACCGAGGTTTTCACTAGCAGCAGACCCGCAGCATTTCTTTCCTTAGGCCGTCACCACTGTGTGCTGGCTGCCTGTTTTCTGTCGGAAGCCTTACGCCATACTGGTTTTGCTGGTGTTTCCCACCTTCACGCACACTCTTTCTAGGACTTGCTCATTAACGTAGGGATAATGCTTTCTGAGTCCACAGTACATACAACTCCTGATCAAGAGTGTAGGTGATGTGACTTCAGAAAATAAACACGTTGCCAGTAACCCAGAAGTGCCACTGACAGGGGCACCCATGTACTTTAGCTGAGTTACCATGAGGGTTGGTAGATCTGTCTTGGGAATCTGGGTGAGCATTTCCGGAGACAGATGTGGGGTCAGCATCCCCCTCCATGGCACTTTCTCCATGGCAATGAGCCATTCACGTGTATAAACTCACAAACCCCTCACAACCCTGTGAGGTGGGTGCTGCTGTCCGTATAGATGATGAAACAGGCAGGGGAGGTCGAGCAAAGTCGGACACTAGGTGGGCGTGATGAAGCCAGAATTGGAACACAGGCAGCCTGGGTGTAGAGAGTCTGTACTGTTAATCATCGCAGAAAGGTGGTGATGGAATCAAAGGGCAATGTGAAAGCTGGAAAAGAAATGAAAATTAAATAAATGGTCCAAATAGTCAATAATATTATCCTTACAGGACATGTAAGTTAAAAACTGTGAGTCTGTCTTTTGTACCCATCAGATTGGCAAAAGTTTTAAATAACTCATTACCCCATGTGTTTGAGAGGATGTGGAACAAAGGAAACTTTCATGCTCGGCTCGAGGAAGTGTAAATTGGTGCCATCACTTTGGAGAGCAATTTGGCAAGGTGAAGATGTGTGTACTCTGCAGCCTCCGCCAAACTCTCAAATATGTACCCAAGAAGATGTGTACAAGGATTGCTGATACATTGTAAGAGTAAAGAAATGGAAACAACCTAGATGTCCATCAGTAGGGGAATGGATAAATAAATGATGGTATATTCATACAATGGAATTCTATGCAGCAGTTAAAATGAATGCAATGTTGAGTGAAAAAGCAAGTTGCAGAATGATTTGTATAGTATGCCATTTATATAATGTTTAAAAATATGCAAAGTGATGTGCATATTCATAATTCGTGTGTGTTAAAAAATGTTTTTAAAATGCATGGGCATGTTAAACCCCAGGGGAATGGCTGTTTCTGGGAAGGGAAGAAGGGAAGAGGGTTGCAGATGGGAAAGTGGTACCCAGTGGATGTCAACTGTAACAAACTTCTGCAAAAAGCTCTGAAGTAAATGCCACAAAATGTTAAGCTCTTACTAAGCTGATACGTGGTTGTTCCTTATGTTAATGTTATTATCTGTACTTTTATGTATACTTGAAATATTTGATAAAAAGCAACACAGTGTAATGAAAAATGCACGTACGCCAAAAAGAAAAAGAAAAAAAACAGTGATCACTAAATGTCAAGGATAAAATAAGTGAAAAATCTTGAGAAATATAAGTATTTAAGACCAATGGTGGGGAGCCTGAGGGGAGATATGTGTGGGGAAAAGGCTTCATTCCGAAATGGTCAAAGTGGTGGTGATGCTGTTAAATGCCAAGTAGTCACACTGTTTGTAAATCTGACCACCTTTGGGTAAGTATAGGTAAGGCCAGGAGCCAATCAGAACCTTACCAGTCGTCAGAGGTGTGTGTCTACAGGTCAGCGGAGGCTGCGCTTGGAAAGTACTGGGAAATATGGGGGAATGGGGTTGGAGTGAGGGAGGGATGGGTGGAAACGTGCTCCCTCCTGCCCGGCTGCTCTGTTCAGCCTGAGGACTGTGTGCATTGGCTTGCAGAACCTGTGGCTTGGACGACATGTCCTTTTATTCTGGTCTTCTAGAAGTTAACTTTTCAAATACAGTTTGATAGTTAAGGGCATGTTAGAGTGGTAGTTGTAACTGAAGTAATTAGAAAATTTCACTGTAGAGGAAAATGTAGAAAAAGGAATTAGGCATATCTGTAACTTCGAATAGCTATACAAAGTATATGATGAGGCTTTGCCTGCCTACTGTTTAATTCATTCTTGTGGGACTTAACGTGTGGAAAAATTGAATTTGGTGGGATGTGACAAACTATATAAAGGGAAATGTAATTGGAGAAAAGAAGGGCATAGCCGTGGATGTTTTTTGAAGGTACTTTGGAAAATTATGGAATTTTTAAACTTGATATTTACTTTGGACTTTTGGTATGACACCCTCTCCTAATTGATCCCGACTTGTGATTAATAACGGGTAGATAGAGTTTAAATGACCTCTCTTTTCTGAATTTCTCAGGCCTGAAGTATATAAATCAACGCATTTAATTGTATGTGAGAATTTAAAAAATCGTAGTGTTGTGTGTGTGTAGCATTAGTGTGAGTGTTGATTTGGTGAGTTATTCCTCACTCTGCTCACTTATTTGTGTGGTCTCTACACCTAGAAGCCGCTGAATTTGCTTTTGAAGAAAACGTTTGTTTTTTCAGTCTTCCTTGTAGTACACCCCATTAAAAAGCAGTAACAAATGCACGTTGGATAAAGTTAAGCATACAAAAGGATAAACTGGAAACTCTTGTCAAACTCAGACCCTGCCCTGATTCCTGCCTTCAGATCCTTACGTATTTCTTTAATATTTTATGCCTATACAAGCACTTACTATGTTGAATCAAACGAAGTTGCCATTTTTATAAATTGGTATAGGTGGTTTCCTTTGGTTCAGTGTAATGCACGTGTACGTCTTTTAAAACATGGGTAGGAGCCTACCATGCACACTTGTATATCTTGCTTTTTTTATATTTAAATCTTGGAGCTTATTGTATATCAGTTTATATAAAGACTTTCCCTTGTTCTTATTCCTGGCTGCATAGTCTTTTACTCAATGGATTATGTGTGTTTTAGTTAGTTTGTAATAGAACATAGATTATCTCCAGGATAAAAAAATTATATATAGCTCTGCAATGATTATCCTTTTACTTCTGTGCTCAGGTGCAAGTCTATCCGTAGGATAAATTCCTGATCAATTTCTTTTACTTGGATGAAAAAGCCTATATAATTAAATTCCAGGCACCAACTTTCGATTTGAAATGTACATGTTTTTTCAGTTGATGGTTGTTAGTCACTGCC